ATTTTAAGATCTTCTTTATTTCTTCTTCATTTTTTTCTTCTTCATTCTTGTTCATATCTTATTTCATATAATTTCAGATGAACCTGATCTCGTGTACACCCATTTCCTCCAGCTCTCGCAATGTTATCAGGCAATGGCAAGTAACAATAAAGTCATTGTATTCACTGATGACTTGTCAGTGCGCAAAGCATTTTATGCGCTTGTTTCTAATTGTTAGTATTTTCCTATATACAGTTAAAAAGCTTAGCAATGCTTAAATCCTAATCTCAGTTTTCAGCAACTCGTACGGGTCTTATTGCCGATTCCAATACCATGCATCTTAGTGGCGTACTATCAATAACCGATTTCACTATGATTTTAATGATGCTGTGGAAATTTCGTGAAAATATTGAAGAAATGAAAGGAACACCCCTAAGCCATCGTGATTTTAATGGAATGGATATTGCAAACATGAAAATTAAAAGGTGGAAAGGTTCGTTCTAAGGTGGTAGTTTTCATTTCTGCCCTTTCAACTGAATACATAAATACCAGCATTTCCAGAATTGCTCAAAAAACGTGGTAATTCGAGAGAATTTATTAGCATCAGTACTGGTGAAAGGTATACTTTTTTAGTTATATACGGTGTTTTTCTAAAGTTATAGTTTGTGCGAAGATAAATTCATAGTTTCGCTTGTTTAGGTCGGGAAATAATATATTTAGTCGATTGCCATCCTTTGATAAAAAATAATTATTCTTCTCTGCACGAAAGCTTAGTGCCATCAGAGAGTGTATTTTATGAAGAATCTAAATGTACTTGCCTAGAAAATAGTCTTTTTAATGGCTCAATGGCTTCAGGGATAGCTTTGAAGAATTCGGTTCAAATTATGCTAAAATACTGATAAAAACAGTCTAGTCTTAGTGCATATTATTAAATGTTAATTCAACCGATGAGATTCATATTTTAAGACATTTCAAACCTCATTTTTGAACTATGGATAAATAATGTTTATATATGATCAAATGATGTTAGTATTGCAGTTCACAGTAATCACGGTGTTTTAGTTGTTCTCCCGTTGAAATTCCACTCTACAATATTCATAAAACATACTTTCTGTAATGATGAACTACTGCACAACATTCTATACATGTTGTTTATCATCTTATTTTAAAAATAAAAAAGCTCTACTCTAAAATACCTAATTTAGCATTTTTCACGCAGTAGAATTGCTTTCGAAATATCGCATCCATCGCCTGCCAGTCCTCGACAAGCATTCAGGAGATTGTGCCTTTATCTTGACACATCGTAGAGTTCTTCACTACATATGGAAATATGTGAGTTTTTTTTAACATAAATCATATGGAACATCACGAATAAGTCAGGATGATCTAGTGCTCAAGCCTTTTACGGCCAGATTACATGTGTGAATGTGCCTGCGATCTCAAAGTTGGTACCTATACGGGGATTCATTATGTTAGTTTTCATGCTTCTGAATTTGCTGCCGTGACGCTTATCTGTTCTTTCCAAACTTTTTATTTCAGGCTACTCAGGAAATGTCACTTTTGGAAGTTCTAGATATGATGATAGACAATGGAATAAGTGGAGTTCCTATAGTCCAGGAGTCGACGATGAAAGTAATTGTTTTATCGATATGTGATAAGTCAGTATGTTTAAAAATGAATTGGAAAGCACGAAACAAATGCTAAATATAAATCAGATTGATTGGGGATATGCACGGAAAAACAAAGGAAACTTCACATTTTACGGA